AATTAGAAGATTAAGGAACAATGCAATCTGCAACATTAACTGAAATAGATAATTAGATAATTTTAGCTTAGCTTATACCATCCGTTATACATTAAACGCACATGCGTAAAGGTATTATGCGCATGCGTAGAAAGTGTGTAGCTTTGAGGTCCGGATTACAGATCATTCCAGATTAAAGACTTTTGACTGTATTGTTATTGTTGTCAATGCATGGTGTCTGTACAGCAAGGGGGCATTTTAAATATGCGGTGAGCCAAAAATCCTCGAGAGATTGGTGGTAGGGAAACAGAGGTGGCAGACCCTTGGACCCTGCCCTGGGGTGCTCTCCATCAAAATTCGGGACAAAACTGAGTGAAGTTGTAATGTCACTTGTATGGTACTCAAGGATCTTGCCAATGACAGGTTCAATCATGCACTTCTTGCCACGAAGAACTTTGTGGGCTTCAGACAAGTGAGATAAGGCACAACAACAAGGAGTTCCTTTTCATAAAATAGCTGGTAGCCATCTTTTTGGAAATTTTTTTAATCTTTTCTTGCTTGAGGCAGACTCAGTCTTCATCTGAATATTTGTTCAATGTGATTTGTTGTTTTCTACACTTTAAAATATACCTAAAGTTATGACATTGCCATTAAAAATGATGCATTGTAGCTCTATCATTGTGGATGCCATTAAATGAAATTTGTGCATTACCCCATTCTGTTCAAATTTTTCAGATAAAAAAAAACTAGGTTTCCCTCCCTCTCAAGACACTTGCTTCAAAATCACTTTTGTTGATGTTTCTGAATAGTTCCAGTTCTTTTCTTGTTAAGCTCATTTGTAAGATCTTCCAGTAAATCCTCTATGTCTTCATTATTAACTTCCAAACCCCCCCCCCCCCGGGTTTGCCTAGAGATGCACATATATAATAGCATAGATAACTTTAAAAAAATCTTAATACTTCTAATTTGAAATATCTAGGTCAAATTTTCACTTTCTTTGGGGGGGGGAATCTACTTTTGCTAACCACAGCAGAATTGGTACATTTTAATTCTTCCGATTTTGGCAATATTCAATTTAAAATTTTGGCTATTATTCTTATATGTAGTTTGATATTATACATTGGTGTGCGAAACTTAAGCAACAGGTGTTCTTTTTGACATAATCCACGAGACATCGTCTGAGAGACATGAAATTCAGAAATAAGAAACAGCATTTTGTATTTAAACGATGACGAAAGCATAATTGCGCAAAAATGAATACAACACATACAGTATGGAATTAAACATAAACAGGCTTTATTGAACTCATAGTATCATTACACATGATTATCTGTATAAGAGGAAGAATAACAAGATGTTCCTTAGTGTGGGATATGCTCTTCCCTTACTGCAATGGTTGCTTCTCACCGTCTCCCCCCAGATTGTCCAACAGATCTTGAGGTGAGAATGCCCATTCCTCAATCAGCATCTGTTTCAGTTGTTGGGTGTTCGGTGGAGGATGTAATCGTGCCTCAAGGCGTCTCCCCAAAGCATCCCATACATGTTCTATGGGATTTAAATCAGGGGAGTATGCTGGCCAATCCATTCGAGTGATATCTTCACTTTTCAGTAGCTTCTGAACAGCATGAGTCAGGTATGGCCGTGCATTGTCATCCATAAAAACGAAGTCTGGTCCAATTGCACCTCAACAGACGCACATAGGGAAGGATTACCTCCTGATAATGGTGATTTCCGGTTACAGAACTTCTGTCGAAAACGTGGAGCTCTGTCCGCCTGTTCAGCATAATGCCTCCCCAGACGAGATCTCCAGGGCACCGTAATGGTCTCTTTCCATGATGTTACTGAGATTAAACCATGTCCTTACCTCTCTCCAAATAAGTTGGCATTGAGAATCACTTGGGGTACTAAAACGACTCTCATCCGTAAGGAGGACACGATTCCATTGAAGAGATGCCTAGTTTTTGCACCACTCTAAACGGTGGTGCCGATGTCCAACTTTCAAAGGGATGCAGCGTTCAGGATGGCGGGCGAATAGGCCATCTTTGTGAAAGTGTCTGGACACAGTAAACCACGACAATTGTCGCCGGTTGCTGTACACAGTTGCTGAGCTGTGGAGCTTGCTGACTGGTTTTGGGCTCTTTTCGCCTGCAAAACGATATATCGGTTATCTGCTGCAGTTGTTCTCCTAGAGCGGCCACCACCAACCTTTCTTAATAGCTGTACCTATGGTTTGGAAGGCTTTCCAAGCCCGCGAACGACACTTTTGTTGACTTCGAAATCTTGAGCCACACTGGTCACACTACACCCCTCCTCCAGCTTTCCGATCATTCTTCCACTCGTGAAGTCATCCAGAGGATTCGGTCTAGCCATATTTCATGAAAGATTTCACTTGTACTTGCAGCGAATGTCTTTAATTGCGTCTTCCTCCTTCCTTTTATGGTAGTCTTGAGTGGAGCGCACGCGTTTTGCGTACGATTACGTAGCCTGTGATGTTTTTTTTCCGGACATCTGCATATGCATGACCGTTCTACTGAATTGCGTGTTCATTGTACCGATAGCAACAACCCATTTTCTGCAACTGCATGGTTATCTGATTAAAATTTGCATTGTTGCTTAAGATTTGCACACCAGTGTACATGATATAATTTGATATTATACTACTTGATATTGCAATTTTCTTGAATATCTATTTTACATCTACCTTAAAAATTCCACAGCATAAATACAATATTGAATAAAATTTAAGCATTTCATTAAAAATAGGAAATTTTAATCAATTCTGACTACAACAGATTTTCTAATTTGTATGCACTGTCTATGATTCACAAGACTCAAATTTAAGTTCAGATTAATAGCTAATGGCACAAGATACTTAAAAAAAATGTAGGGATTACATATTTGCTCTTGAATTGAATAAAATTTGGGTACTCTTCAGCTATTGGGACTGGATTAAAAAATGTATGTATGTGTGTGTCTATACACACACACATTCCTATATACATGAATACAATGAACACATCCATTCATCTCTACATACATATTTCTAAATCCTAAAACAGAAATATCAAAATTTGTTCTCTTATTTTTGCCAGTTCTAATAAGGATTATCATTGTTAAAAAATCAAAAACAACCTTCCAGTTAATATTTCCGTTAAAAATGCTGTAGTACAAAATACCAGTTGCTAAAATACTGAGAATTTATTACTTCACTCCAACTGAAGGAAATTTCTGTTAGTTTCTTGTACTTACTAAACCTCTTTCCAGTTTTACTTAGTGTATTAGATTTCAATAAGCAGAAAAGTTTTCTTAATTGCACGCTATTTCATTACTACATTAAGTTTCATAATTCTATTTTTCAACAAATTATAAATAATTCTACACAGATATATAATATATTATATATTTGTGTAGAATATATAATATATTATATATTTGTATTAATATATTATTACACAAATATGTCCCTTTACTTGATTACTAAAGAATAAAGTTTGATTTAATTCCCAAATACATAAATCAAATTTTAATTGGAATAATACTGAATATGTAGATTTAACATTAATTTTAATGAAATTAAAACTTTTTGACAAAAGAAGGCCTTTTTAAATTTAGCACCATTAAATTAATTAACTGGAAATCAAACATTTCAAAAAAAGTAATAGGAAATACTACTTTTAATTAGTTAATTAGAATTACAAATATTTGCCCTGAAGTTTCTCACCTTCAAAATGAAATTGTTCTATTCACTAGAACTTTAATTGTTAATAATATTTCTTACAATTTTTTTAAGTTCTATTTTAAAAAAGCTGGTATCAACTCTGAACTATAAATATTACATTACGAAATGAAATCCTGTTTTACACTGAGAAGAATAGAGATGGCTGTGTAACTGAATATTTATAGTAATGTATATCTTCTAAATATTAATTTATGTAATTATTTATCTGGCTTTTTACTTTGACTGATAGGCCATTTGGGGGGGGGCAGACTCTATCCCAGACATTACTGCAAAGATCTTTACTATTCCTTTCTTTTATTCAGACCTTCTTAGTCAGAAATAAAATTTTAAAAAATTCATCTTTTGTGCCATGAATTGCAACATTTTCTTGGTTTATGTGAATATTTTATGGTCAAATTTTTAGCAGAAAAATTAATCCCCAATAGTAGCCTCAATGCGCATTCCATGTGTGTGTGTGTGATTATGGCAAAGCCTTGAGGACTATCTGCCTAAAGGGAGGGATGCCTTTCGTGGAGGTGCGCATTCCATGAGGTAACCCTATTTCCACTGCTTCAAAAATTCTAATAGTCATTTTAGCTTAAGCAGACAATAAATACGTATAAATATTCAGGCCTCCTTTTTTTTGCAATTTTACTCTGTAATTATGACAGTTATTTTACATCGAAAAGTGTAATTTTTTTATAACATTATTCTATTCTGTTTGCATAGTTTATTTAAGGATTTTTTTTAGTATATGCACATTTTCCCATTGTTTTACTTACCACTCCACCAGATAGAATTTACTTTAAACAGATTAATTAGGAGTTTGTAATAATTTTTTCAGACTGTTTTGCATACTTTTTGACATTTCCTAAAAAAACACAGGGATATTCTTGATTTTCAAAGGTGCTTCATGTATTTGAAGTTGCCCTTGATTATCAAAAAAGGCAGAAACACTTTTGGGACACATGATGTAAGCTGGGGGAATAACTTTAATTTAAAAACCTCCTGATAATAGTCTGAGTTTTTCAATTACTGAATGATTTTCTTTATTTATTCATTAATTTTCATTTGAGCTCTTTCTTATTCTTCAACTACAATACTTTAGCCATAGGCATTTAACAATTCTTATAATTTGCACATAAATTTTACATTTTAATAAATCTTTGTCTATTACACAAAGAATCCTAAATAGCACTAATTTATTTTGTTTAATTACATATATATATAAATTTGCAGTTTCAGGAAATTGGTAGTTTCAAAAGTATTAAAAAACTTGAATATTATATAAAAGTGAGCTAAATTCATAATATCCACACAACAGTTATTTTATTCATTTTAACAATAGATGTAATACATTCAAGCAGAAAGCTCAAATGTTAAAGTATCTTACTTTATAGATTTTGTTAAAAATTTTTCTATCAGATGCTGATTACAATTCAAGGTAAATTAGGACGTCCTGGATCATCATATAATTTTATAGAGAAATCCAAAGGTGGATAATTTGCTTTGAGTTCATCAGGTTCCATTCTAAATGTAGGTATGTTGTGATCATCAAAGTACTTGAAATATGCTGCTAAAAATCCAAGCCATACTGCTGCAACATGACCAGGCCTGATTCTGTTATCTAATAGCAGAGGGAAAAAATTAAAAGTAAAAAAATTAACATTTTGGGAGAATAATAACAAAAAGGGCAAGGAAAAAAGTACTCAGAGCAGAATAAGCATAAAGACCTCTTCAACACAATACCTCAATGTAATATATCTTCAAATAAATAAAAAAAACAGAGAGAGAAATAAAAAGTACAAATGTCTTAATATAAAGCAGTTTAATAAAAAATTCTCAGAAAGATAATTTTTTCAATAGCGTACACACATTTACAATTTATATAAACAAACACACAAAACGACAAGCTACTTAAAGTACTGCAAAGTAAATTGATAAACACAATGAAGCAAATTTGCATTGTCTCTGAAATTTACTGTATGCCCTTACAAATAGAATTAACATTTTTCAGAGAAATTAACACCTGTATTATTTGTTAAATGCTGAACAACAAATGACCAAATCAATTTCAGATTATTGTTTTTCCGTATCTATTAACATATTTTAATTTGATATGCATGAAATAAAAAATTGAAAAAAAAAAAAAAAAAAAAAACTTTGAGTTTTAAAATGTCACCCAAAGAAGATGATACTGTCATTGTGGCTATATACAGAGCAGCAAAGCCACTACAAAAACAATCCTTTTTGAGAATATGTGATGGAAGGATGCATTTCTCAGATTCTTTCTTTATGAAAATACAACTAAAAATACTCTTTAATTAAGTTAGTTTAATCTGGATTCATGTTTTTTATCATGTTTAAAAGGTTAATACAATGTGTAAAGGAGAAATATTGGCACATATTACAACAATGACGGAAGGGAAAAAATGTTTGATGTGTCCAGAGAAGGGTGGCAACAATCAGAATAAAAAGAATTCTAAAATCTGGCAAATTTCAATTATCATAATTAGGTTTAGTGAATGAATAACGTAGTTCAGAAAATGCTCATAAAGCCCATACATATTCTTTTCGGTACAACTCTGATATACGCCTAATTTCACCAAATGTGGCGATATGTGTTCTGCGCTGGTTTTTGGCACGATTGCGTGTTGTATGCCAACCCTGTTGACGTTGAAAAACCTTTCGCTGGAGTTAATTGGTTCCCGTCATGCTTTGTGTCTGAGAAGCTAGGGGGGAAAGATTTAATGGTGCAAGTTGTTGAATTGAAGTTCGGCATAAGGAAATATCGTCGTGGCCATCCTGTTGAGGGGCAATGGGTATTTGGAGGTGTGGAAAGAAGGTATGGGAGATTATTTTTAGTGGGTGTGCATGATAGAAGTAGCGATTTGTGATTTGATTTATTGTGAACCATAGTATGAATTTTCTGGATAGTGTGTCTGGCTATCATGTAAATACAATAGTGATTACGTGGCGGTATGTTAAAGGTGGTATGAAATTGGTATTTCTGTTGTTCGAAAAAGCATTAATGGTAAGTGCATTTTATTTTATTCTTGTTCTTATTTTGTAGAATGTTATGTTCATTGTTTTTTAGTATGAATTTCTGTCATTGTTGTTTTTTTTTTGAATTGTTTGAAATTTATTTTAGTTATTTTGTTGATTAGTGCGTACCGTCTAAATTGTGCAATTCGTAGATGTTTTTTAAAGTTGAAACAGAATGCTGTGTACATGGTATTCTTTGAAATTTATTGCTGTTATGTTAATTTATTAAAGCGAGTGTGCGTAGTTCGTAATTCGTTCGTTGCTTAGATGGTGTCATTCATAGATGTTTTTTTAAGTTAAAACATATCGCTGTGTACATGGACTCTTGTCAAATAATTTTGGTTAGAAACTTCACGGTTTTGCTATCTAAATTTTTTGTTTTTGTTTTGGATTTTTAACTTAAATTGTGTGTTCAAAACGTGGTTTTTGCATTCGCGAAAACCGTGTTTTTGGAGACATTTTAGGCTTAAAGTTCGAAATGTAGACAAAAAATTTAGATAGCAATATGGCAGCGTGGAGTTTCTCGCCGCGAGAAATTTGACGCCTTGAGGGCGCATATCAGAGTAGTTCCTTCTTTTCTTGAAAAGATTGTATTTCCACACAGGCGATTCATTTTAAGTTAAATTATATAATATTCAATATAAAGTGCAAAACTTACTTCAAAAGTTTTTCTACTGATATAACTCAATCATTAATTTTATCTCATAATTCTTATAAAATATTTCAAATACTGAAAATGGTTTTTATACTTACATTTAAAGCCCCATACAGAGCCTGCAGCCATACCAGCTAACAGATGATTATACATATCACTTTTCTTTCTCAGCTGTCCTGCAAGGCAGACAGTAGAACCAAAGACAAATCCCATACCAGCTGGGGGGAAAAATGATTAAATATGAAATTTTCACTTACAGCAAAAAATAACTATTGATGAACTTTTAGTTTAAAATTTACTTTCAATTTACATGTTAATTTTCAGATCACGATTGAGTCAAGCCTCAATGTTTCAAACCTTTATTCATAATTATCTTATCTTGAAGCATTTTCTTGGAAATTCTTGTAAAGTCAAATTCTCGATTCTCATCTCACACCAATGTATGTACAGTTAGTTGTATGTGTCTCTCTTTTCCTCCAGAAACAGAGTAGTCTCAAGTGGTTTGAGAACTGCTTTGTCATTCTCAGTTTAAGCTGTTTAAGATGATTCTATTCTATACATTTTAAAAAGATATCATATCTTAAGTTTGGAACAATGATTCGTGTAAAGCTATTTCTTCGACATTTACCCTCTAAAAGTGTAAGGGAAAAGTTAACAATGTCTAATATATCTTTTGGCTGATCTTTAGAATATGGTAACTGCTAGTTTGGCGACATTTTGGAGGCGATAAAGGTTACTACCTGGGACTTTGGTAATAATGTGAGCAGTACTCAGTTCCGATTACGCATTATTTTGTGTGAGGGAAATGAGAGATCATGGGATATGTCATGTGATATTAATGGACGAATTACGGTTCTTTAATCAGAAAAGGGGGGAATTTGGAAAAATATCTGTGGTTGTATATTATTTTGTATTAAGCTTCATTGTGTGTTGTGTGAAGTAGGGTTGAATAATTTTGGAATTGTATGGCGCTGTCTAAAGTGAATGTCCGAGGCATTGTGATAAAGAGAATTTTGCTTTTTATTTAGCGGAGGAAGTGTGGAGGAAAAATTCACAGAAAAAATCGTTCAATAATTTTATTGAATCCATAATAAAAGTGTATCCACCATGTAAGCAAGATTCTGAAGAAGATTAGGTAAGTTAGTATTTTTAATTATTTGAGGATATTATTTTTATGCATTGTTCTAAATGTAAGGTGGAAGTAAAGTAATTTGGTATTATTGGGAAAATTGTTATTAGCAATGATTTAGTTTAAAGTAATTAGGATTGTAAGCTAATTTTTATTAATTAGTAGTGTTTTGAATTTAATTATATTTTAATTAAATGATAGTTATTTTGTGAATTTTATGTTTGTAGGAATTTGGTATACGTTTTAGCTGAAGTAAACGTGCATGGAAATAATTTAAATATTTGACACTAAGTATTTGTAATGTTTGCGGTATGAATTCGTTGGTGACGTTTATAATATAATAGATAATTTAGAGGTAAAAGTTTTTGGATATTTTTATTTATTTTATACGTGGAAATGTTCATATTTGGAAAGGGTATATACTTTTTCGTTATCAGGTAATTTCATATATGTTCTTTTTTACCGGGTTTAAAGATTCAGAAAATTGTCATGTATTTTCGTGAAATTTTTCTAATTTATGAGAAAAAAGCAGTGTACATGGATATAGTGAAGAGTGTGCGCAATGCCATTTTTGAGCAATTCTGGGATTTTTTTTTTTAAGTAAAAATAAGTCGACGTGTACATGGTTTAGTGATATTTTTAATTAAATGATAGTTATTTTGTGAATTTTATGTTTGTAGGAATTTGGTATACGTTTTTAGTTGAAGTAAACGTGCATGGAAATAATTTAAAATATTTGACACTAAGTATTTGTAATGCTTGCGGTATGAATTCGTTGGTGACGTTTATAATATAATAGATGATTTAGAGGTAAAAGTTTTTGGATATTTTATTTATTTTATATGTGGAAATGTTCATATTTGGAAAGGGTAATACTTTTTCGCGATCAGGTAATTTCATATATGTTCTTTTTACCGGGTTTAAAGATTCAGAAAAGTTGTCATGTATTTTCGTGAAATTTTTCTAATTTATGAGAAAAAAAGCAGTGTACATGGATATAGTGAAGAGTGTGCGCAATGCCATTTTTGTGCAATTCTGGGATGTTTTTTTTAAGTAAAAATAAGTCGGACGTGTACATGGTTTATGTGTATGTGTTATTTTGAAAAACGCGTAAGGAGTATGGTATTGTGCACTTTTTCCCAATTTTGCAGTGAATATTTGTCATGATTAAGCAGTTTTGTTAGATAAAATTTCTAGCATAAGTGTAATTCGGCTAGTAAATTGTTGGAAGAAGTGTTCAGTAGATAAAAAGAAAAGAAACATGTCTTTACTTCGTGAAGACAAAATGGCGGCGGGGGAAAAAAAAATAGAGGGTTTCTGTAGAAGAGTTGGTCGCCAAATTTTCGCCAAAAAGTCGCCAAGTTACCATAATCTAAAGATCAACCTATCTTTTTTCATGGAACTCAGGTCTTGCAGAATTCTAAAATTTCATTTCTCGAAATAGACACTTCAGTTGCAACTTGCAGAACATTAACACCCAAAATTTCAGCAGAAATAAAATCCGCATCACCACATAATAATGAAACAGAATTACATGAAGATTACAAAAATGTGACTGAAGAAAAAAAAGAGAGAGCGATAAAAGGGAGGTGGGAAGAAAGGTCTGGAAAGATTCAGACTTAAACATTATACTAAAGAGTTTGTTAAAGTTTTTTATGCTCTCATTCAGCTCACAGTTTATGTATCTTGTTCTCAGTTCTGCTGACACATTTTTTTTCTGTCTTTTTAATTTTATTATTAAACATCATTTTCTTCACATTTATGCCACATAAAATTCAATAACAAAATCACAGCATTTTTAAAAACAGCATACTTTTAGAATTTCCAAAGTCCAAAATCCGGACGTCCATTATCTGGAATGATCTAAAATCCGGACCTCAAAACCCCCAACGTTTTTTCCTCATAGGCTTTATGCATGTGCATTTGATTCCCACCTTCCACGCATAATACAACATCTGGAGAGTCCCAATTCTTAATTTCACTTCGACACTAAATAAAATACCTTGTGTTTGAAGAAACAATCATTTTAGCATAAATTTGTACGATCAGTAATTTGGCTCTGTTGCTGCATATCTGCTTGGCACACATCTCAAACCAAAACACTTCACATACATACATCGTTGATCTGATACCAGCCTGGTTAATCATTTTTTATTCTTTGTTTTCATCACCGCATGTTTATCAAACCATGACAACTTGAGTAACGACTCTTGTAGCAATGTCTAAACAATTTTTTATGTTAGTAATTGAATAATAAAGGAGTATGGTAACCTTTTATGTTGATTACAGATTTTAAATGCACTAAAAAATTTCTTTCCATATGCTAAAAATAGATTTTGATGACGATACTCATAAACCCAAAGATTACATTTAGAGCTATTTGAATTAAGAATAACTGTTTGTTATTCACATAAACCCAGAACCAGTGCCAGGGCTCGCATGGGCGCACCAAGTTGCAGAATTTAGGACCCACAGAAACTGCAGGCGGTAAGATATCTAGTGCCAGCCCTCAATAAGGCTTAACTATAATAAATAACTAAACTAATACAATTCATGCTTAATTGACTCAGTGCACGATAGAAGCAAAATAAATTTAAAGGAACAACTTATCGTTAGTCGCGAAGCTCATGATGCATAGCCAAATATGTATAGTGAAGGATAGCTAAATTTGATGACGATAGCCACTAATTTTAAGGTTTTCGGATATCGCAAAACAAAGGTGAAATTTTCCAATTAACGGATTTTGTAAAAAATGTGGAGAAGCGGGAATAAATGAAGATGATATAAAAGAAGTTTTTCTATCATGAATGGTGAAATCTGCAGTATGGTCTAGATAAAGAAAATACCGCTACCGATAGTGAAGAAAGTGACAGAGAAGTTACTGAAAACGAGAAAATTTCGATTGACAAATTAGTCGGAATTCTCGAAACTGCAATTACAGGATTCAACAATGTAACTAAACAAGAGATTATCTCTGTAATTCTGTAGACAGCTACAGAATTACAGAGAAAGTATTAGCACAAAAAAACGTAGTAACTCAAAGCAACTTACATTGAAAGAAATGTTTAATAAAGTAAAAAAATAAATATTAAGCTTTCTTTTGTAAATTTTGATACCCTTTAAATCCTAAATACTTCATTATTTCAAAAATCACGATTTCATATTTTTAATTTTATAAATTCTACATGCCATTTTACTTCAACTGATGATCTATTATCCGGAAAAATCCCAAATCCAGAATCGCCAAAGTCCCGATGAGTCTGCATTTTGGATTTTGTACTGTATTAAGTACCGACATAAATTTTTTACCAGAAAAGGGCTATTATTCTCAAACTTTTGTTGTCCTCTTCAATTTCAAATAATTAGCCACTGGAACGGCTAAGCACCTAAAACAGGTATTATAAATATAAATATATATACACTCAAAAGTCGTTAATCCGGACTCGTCGGGACTTCGGCGATTCCGGATTATAGATCATCAGTTTAAATCTGGTAAAATGGCATGCAGAAATTATAAAATTAAAAATATGAAACTGTAATTTACGAAATAAAGAACAATTATGATCTAAAGGGTATCAAAATTTACAAAAAAAAAGCTTAATATTTATTTGTTTACCTTATTAAACATTTCTTTCAATCAATGTAAGTTGTTTAAGTTGCTTCCTTTTTTATGTGATAATACATTCTCTTTAATTCTATAAACAGACATAATTTATTGTTCAGTTACAAAGTTCCGCTGTTCAAGTCCTATAATTGCTGTGTCGAGAATACCGACTAATTTGTCAATCGAAATTTTTTCGTTTTCAATAACCTCTGTCACTTTCTTCGCTATCGGAAGCGAATTATAATGACGAGGCATTTGATTTAAATCATATCAAAGACAGAGTACATCGAGATGAAATACTACATTGAGTAAGCAATTATAAGCCAAATAAAATAAAAACATCTGCCCTTAAGATAAGGATAGTGCTGACGCCGCAGCTGAGTTAAAGATAAACAAAGTTTAGATAAACAAACGTTAAAGTTTAGATAAACAAAATATATGCCTTTATCCATTTTTTGCAGCAATTCCACTTTTTGTTTAATGGACTCCGAAACATACTTTCGCTTTGTATATCCTTTACCTATTAGTAAATATATATTTGAAATTCTATTTGACATAATCGAAAGTTCAAGCTTACTTTTATAAAATTGCTCTAACAGTCTGCAAAAAATAATAATCCGGATCCAATTCGAAGATTAAGGAACAACGCAATCTGCAACATTAACTGAAATAGATAATTAGATAATTTTAGCTTAGCTTATCCCGTCCGTTATACATTAAACGCGCATTTGTAAACATATTTTGTGCACGCGCACATGCAAATTCACAGCGGTAAAGGTCTTACGCGCATGCGTCAACGCGACTCATGCGCAGAAAGTTTGTAGCTTTGAGGTCTGGATTATAGATCATTCCGGATTATGGGTGTCCGAATTAACGACATTTGACTACGATTTTTCCGGATTATAGATCATGAGTTTAAATCTCGTAAGATGGCATGCAGAAATTCTAAAATTAAAAATATGAAACCGTAATTTATGAAATAAAGAACAATTATGATCTAAAGGGTATCAAAATTTGCAAAAAGAAAAAGCTTAATATTTATTTGTTTACTTTATTAAACATTTCTTTTAATGTAAGTTGTTTAAGTTTTTTGCTTCGTTTCATGTGATAATACTTTCTCTTTAATTCTATTAAACAGACATAATTTCTTGTTCAGTTACAAAGTTCCGCTGTTCAAGTCCTATAATTGCTGTGTCAAGAACGACGACTAATTTGTCAATCGAAATTTTTTCGTTTTCAATAACCTCTGTTACTTTTCTTCGCTATCGGAAGCGAATTATAATGACGATTAACTTGTTTTAAATCATATCAAAGACGGAGCATATCGAGATTAAATACTACATTTGGTAAGGAATTATAAGCCAAATAAAAACATCTGCGCTGAAGATAAGGATAGTGCTGACAAATCAACTTCCAATTCATTACGCGCCCGCCGAGCAGCGTGAAATTGATAAACAAATTTCGGATTTCAAAACATACTTTCGCTTTAGATCCTTTACATATTAACAAATATATATCGGAAATTCTATTTGATATAATCGAAAGTTTAAGCTTACTTTTATAAAATTGCTCTTACAGTCTGCAAAAAATAATAAGCCGGATCCAATTCGAAAATTAAGGAACAACGCAATCTGCAACATTAACTGAAATAGATAATTAGATAATTTTAGCTTATACGTCCATTTATACATAAAACGCGCGCACGCGAAAACGTATTCTGCACTTGCGCACACTCATATGCGCAGTCGTAAAAGGTCTTACGCGCACGCATAAACGCCTATGCACATGTGTCAACGCGGCGCATGTGCAGAAAGTTTTTAGTTTTGATGTCCGGATTATAGATCATTCTGAATTATGGGTGTCCGAATTAATGACTTTTGACTGTACTACAGTTTTCCAAATTCCCCCCCTTTTCCGATTAAAGAACTATAATTCGTCCATTAATGTCACATGACATATTTCATGATCTCTCATTTCCCTCACACAAAATAATGCGTAATCGGAACTAAGTACTTCTCACATTATTACCAAAGTCCTAGGTAGTAACTTTTATCGCCTCCAAACTACCAGTTACCATATTCCAAAGATCAGCCGGCTTTTTTTTTTTTTTTTTAACTCAACATTTTTTTCCCAACAATCTGCTAGTCGAATTACTCTTATGCTAGAAGTTTTATGGAACAAAAGTGCTTAATCATGACGAAGATTAGGTGCAAAATTGGGAGAAAGTGAAGAATCGCAAACTGCTTGCCGTGTTTTTAAGAATTGCACATACACGGTAACCATGTACACATTGACCTATCTTCACTTAAAAAAAAAACCCCACAATTGCACAAAAATGGCATTGCGCACATTCTTGACTTTATCCATGTACACTGCTAAAGTTCTAGCTAGTAACCTTTATCTATTGCCTTACCAAAATGTCGCCAAACTACCTGTTACCATATTCCAAAGATTAGCTGAAAAAGCTGCGCAGATCAAAATGAAGTTGAACATTAATAGTAAAAAATTAATTAATTAAGCAGTAACAAAAAGTGACTGTGATAAAAGTGTTTCAGAGGAAGAGGAAAGAACAAAACTCATGCGCATTCTTTATCAATCAGGGACCGTCATCATCTATGCAGGGCCCGACTTAGCCTAATTGAGGCCCAGAACAGAAACTTCTTTGGGGGGGGGCCCTTCTGCTTCACTACTTCAGTAATGAACAACCAAACTTTATGGTGGTATTTAAATTTTTATAATAATAAACTTTCTATTCGATTTGGGGACCCCCTCTTACGTGAGGGGCTGGGGCAACTGTCCCGTATGCCCCTGCCATAGTCAGGCTCTGGATCTATGAACTATATGCAAAAATGTATAAGATGCAAAGTTTTCATGCAATGATATCACCCTGATAGAGCAGTAACAAGCTACAGCATAGGCATTTTCAGCAAAAATGCAACGCTCTCCTTTATAAACATTTTAAAAGTTTGACAACAAATTGCATTGGACAAATTTCAAGTGCAGTTGAATGGCACTAAAAGACAGATTTTTTTTTAAAAAAAGATATTCCAGAAAAAATTACTTGAGATTTCATCAAAAGAAATCTTTTCATCCAAATAATATTACATCTTATTTTTCATCACTTTCCATTCTCTTTAATATAGTAATGATAAGATTAAGTTAAATTTTTGTTTATCTGCTTAATATTATTATTTGCCTCGAATTTAATGATTTCCACTCTTTTTGTGTAACAAACTCAAACACAAAGTACTACAATAACTTATAAATAAGCCATCATCTATAGCCCAGGAAGATATCAATCCATTTTACATTAATTTCCTATATGTAAAATAGTTTCAACCTATTCAAAACATTTCCAAATGCCAAATAACCTTTCAGGAATGAATTAAATCCATAAGCCAAGATTTCACTGCAATTCAAATGTTTTGCACTTGTAATAATTGAAAGGCTACTACATTATAACCAGTTGACAGTTATATATGGACAGAAAATGTATTTATCTAAGGGAGTAGAATGTCTTTAAGGTGGGCACCTAAAAGAATTCGATTTTCTTTATGCATAAGAAAAAAATCATTGCAGCCAACTTGCTCTATATTTTTGCGATCAATATAAAAATGTAACATACAGACTGACATTTTTAAGAGAATCAAGTTCTATTCAATACTTTACACAAAAATTCTAAAAGTAATTTTTTTTTCCTCCTTACCGAACGGTAGAGTGAAATGGGCAAATCTAGCAAGACTTTTTCCCACAGTCATTGGTTTAGACATGAAAACCATTTCGTATACAGAAAACACTGCACCTGAAAATAATATCAAAATATTAAATACATACTCAAGACAGACGGGAACTTAATAAAAAATATAAATTTTAAAATTAACTTACCAAAAACAGTGCTGTACTTGGTATAGTAATAAGTTTTCTCTAAACATTTTTCGCCATCAGGTGCTCCATAAAATGGATAAGATTGATATATTTCACTGATCTGCTTAGGAAACGGAGGCATTATTAGTATACGATTTACACTATTTTTCTCAGCGCACTGAAATTAAAGGACAAATTTCTTTGTTTTGAGACAATCCTCAATGCCAGTTTCAGTAATAGCAATAATAAAATAAAGGGTAACCAAAACGCTAAAATAAAAAATATCATCCTAATTTTAAATATCGAATTAGCTACTGGAAAATTTATTGATAAGATTTCTTCTTAAGCAATTTTAATTATGAATGAATTATTTTAATTCTTTCTTTTTAACGTTGGTATTTGTAATACAATATAAATATTGATTAAACACAAGTTAGTGTATTTAATGCTGGCAACACACATTTTGTTCTGTTTCGTCTGACTGTGCTGCTTAATTTGTAGTAATGATTTTGTGACACTTAATATTATGTAGCAACATGTCAATTGTTAAATATATTTTCAGAAAAAAGGCCTATAAATAGTTTAATTTTATAGCACATGAGGTACCTGTTCTGTTAAATGCCGTCTATGTGTTTTCATAGTGTAAAATTAATATATGTCAAATGGAACATTTCATCTTTGAAATAATTTTTATACTTCCGATTGCTAAATGCATTTTTTTTTGTTTTTTGGGGGGGGGGGTGTCAATGTAACAGATTTAAAGAAAATATCTTATAACTTACATCAGTATCAACTCATTTGAGTTTTTGTGTGTGCTAATATTAATCTATGAATATGACTGTTTTTTAGTTTAAGGTCAAATTTTAGTATTGTAACACACCTAAAGCTAGGGATGCCTTTTAGAATATAAAAAGTATAAAATATCTTGATTTAATTTTAAATTATATTGGTTCTAATTATAATTTATAACTGTATAACTAAGTCAAAATTCTTTCGTTAATTATTTGAGTGCGATTTATAAAGAATTTCTTCAGTTACATTATAAGTTCCATGTGTATGTATTTTAGTATATGTATGAAGTATTAAAAAATTCTTTGAAAATTATGAAAAGAAGAAGTGTGATTGACATTTTAAAAATATCATTCAGTGTTTTCATGAATCTGTTCTTCCGCTTGCAATGAGTAATTAAAAAATTATGTGGAAAGGAAATAGACTTAAAAACTGAGTGAATATATTTAATGAGATTAAAAAATTGGTATGGTATAAAGCAGTTAAAAATTTCAGCGAAAAAGCTTCAGCTGATATTGAGGCAGCTGGATAATTTGCAGATGAAATCAATTAACACATTTATAGTAAAAGGTTATTTCCAGAACCGATTTATAATGCTGACAAAGCTAATACTGGTCTTTTCTAGCAATGTGTATCGTAAAATACCTTGTAATCATCTGGAGAATAGGACCCAATCGGTGTCAAAAGATTCCAAAGCGAGGCTAACAGTTTTGGCATGTACAAATGCTGCAGGAATGCACAAATATAAAAGCCATGGATGACACAAACATTAATGAATGATTTGTTTCACAATCATTTCCATACCCAAGGCTCAATTGGTTTTCTGGGTAAAGTAAAAATTATCCCGATTATAGAACTAAACTCACTAACTAACTAAAACTACTAAACTCAGTAAACTACTAAAGTAGCCTTTTTAAAATATCTGTTAAAGTTTCTGAGCATTAAAGAATTTTTGAAATATTTAAACATAAAATCTGTTGTGTACACTATAGTTATGTCATGGGAGGATATGTACACTGCTCAAAAAAAAAAAAAAAATGGGACAATCCTATGTCTCCCGATCTACTGGGCCGATTGACAAAATTCAAATTGCGTTCTTCATGTCTCGAAAGCGCGACTTAGGATATATAATAGATTTATATATAGCACTATCTTAACATAGGTATTTTGACACAAAATCGGACTTTTTCTGAAATAACATACCAATTTTTTTACATATTTCGATTCTACGACTCAAATTATGCCTAAATATGAAATTTTGTAAAATTTTGGAGCGAAATTTACGGAGAAATTCACAAATTTATGTTGGCACTTTTTGTCAGTTTGCGCCAAGAATAGTTCACTTGGCGAACTTCTTAATATATGGCAACCTAGTTTCCTTTCCCGTGAGCGGGAAAAAAAGTCACCATCGTTCCTTTTTTTTCCAAATAATATTCTTTATATTATATTTTTTAAATATAACTTATTATTTTTTTAAGTAATTTTTTTTTTTTTTTTTTTTTTTCGAATTTCATTTTAATTGTTTAAGTTGCATGGTTTTTTTTTTTTTTTTTTTTCGAATAACTGTTTTAAAAAAAATTTCTACTTACCTATTCGAACTGCGTAAAAAAAGGTGCAGCGTTTATTTATTTTTTTCAAATAGTTTTCTTTGTATATATTTTTTTGTCATAGTTATTATTTTAGGTAATTTTTTAAATTCTTTAACTTTTTTATTTTAATTGTTTCTGTTTGCATTGTCTCTTCAAATAATTGTTTTAAAAAATTTTCTGTTTATTCCTTCGAATTGAGCATTTTTAAATATATTTATTAATATAAATTTTCCAGAATTTGATTTTTTATTTATTTGAATTGCGTTTCTTTCGGAGGAATACTTTGTAACCCAGACTACGATGCATTTGAAAACTGCATATATATTAAAGGAGAAAATACAGTAAAGCACAGTTAACACGCCTTTCAATGTTTCGTTCAGAAAAGATATATATAAATAAGAGAGACATGTTTAACTTAGGATTGCGACATTTTAACTTAGGATGACTTGCATACACTGCTTTAAACAGTTTTTATCATTGTGCCCATTGCTTTACACAATTTTATCCTACATTTGGCTTCTTTAAATGTTATTCATATTTTAGTCAAATATTTTATTTTTGAAATTGTAAAAATCAAATATCATAAGATTAAAAAGTTTTAAATTAAAAAAAAAAATACAAATACTAAATTTTACCGTAAAATGTATTTTTTCTTCTCTTTTTCTTCAGACATTCTACTTTATTCTTATTCTTTTTCTTTAATCATTCCACAAGTATATTAAAAAGCATCTAAATTTTCGAAATATCTTGATATTTCTGACAATCATTTTAAATAAAGTTATCGCCTTCCATTTCATAAAGGCCCACAAAAGGCCGAGCGGTAAAGTCGCTGAAACACTGGATAGTTCACTCCGGGGTTCGAATCCCATGGTAAACAGGCTGGTTGCATGGGCGTTTTCGTGGATTTTCTCATGTGTAACCGTGTATGCCAGCTGGATTTTTTCCTTAGAAAAGTTCTTCACAAAGGCATCCTTCCTTTTAGATAGCCCTGCTTTGACGTAACTTAATAATTTAATTCAATCCATTTCATCAATATTTGGTCAGAGCCTTTATCAGTCTTTAGAGGCTAAACATTTTGAAGGTATGAGATGAAAGAAAAGACTGGTTTCATCAAGAGGTTTTGGTTTGTTTAATTATGACAAAGCACACTAGGGCTATCTGCCTAAGGGGAGGGATGCCTTCGTGGAGGACTTTCTAAGGAGAACTGGCTGGCATACATGTTACACATGGGGAAAACCACGAAAATGCCCATGCAGCCAGCCCGTTCGCGGGATTCGGACCTCTTACAGAACTACCAGCGTTCAGCGACTTTATCGCTCGGCCGCTGTTTCATCAGGAGGGAAAAAAAACATCTTTAGGTGACATCCACATACATCACTGGATAAACTCCTGAATCTTCAAATAATTCGAATGAGAATATCATGGGATTCTCCATTTAGGATACGATATGATGTTCTATAACGTAATTTAAATTTATACAACCATATTGTCTTTTTTGTTAACCACAAGCTCAATTGATGGTATTTGCTGGTGTACGCGTCCAAGTGTTTTTTCTTTGAACACCTAAATTCTTTGAAGTATCCTGAAAGTATCTTCAAAAGCATCCAACTTTTTGAAAATCTTGGTATGTCTGACAGCCAAATTTCCCTGCAAATTTTTTTTTGCTTACTTACTTTTTTCCCCTAATTTTCTTCTTTTCCTTCTACAGTTATTTTCAGTGCACACACAAGAAAATTAAGATTTTTCGATTGCTAGACTTCCAATAAATTTTGCATTCTTGTCAATTTTTTTTTTTAAAATATCAATTACATCAATTGCGTTTCATTTCAGCTGAAGACAGCTTTTCATTTTCTAGTCATTTTAACTATAAATAAAAGTTTAAAGCGAAGTCCAAAGGATAAATATTTTAATTAAAAGATTTTTGCTAAATGACAAAGAAATAAAGCAGTCCAGCAGGGTTTATTCTGTACCACCGAGTGACCCGATTCTTATATCGGCTGAAACAATCTAAATCATATTAAAGATCATGTTTTTTATACAATCTCTAACGCGAGAGAAAAATTAGCTTCTGAAAACATTCTTTCTAAGAGGATTAATATAAAAGATTATATTTATTTATATATATTTTTAAAGCTGGGACTTGAATCAAACTGTAAAATTTTTAAAGTTTAATTTACATGGTGGTTATAAAGATTATATTTATATATATATTTTTAAAGCTGGGACTTGAATCAAACTGTAAAATTTTTAAAGTTTAATTTACATGGTGGTTATAATTAAAGTTCCAATTTGAAATGGTCATAAAAGGAAAACTACCGTACCAAATGTTATCAAACTTGGGAATCATGTAAAGGAGGTTATGGGAATTTATTTTCAGCGAGGAAAAAATAGTTAAAAAAACTCATCACCAGGGGGGAAAGGACGCTGTATACAAGATTGTTAAATGAAATAAGACACGAAAACATCTGCTTAAAATGTGTTTAATATTTTCCGAAACGTGTTACAATGCATGTTCAATGTAGCGTCCAGCATTTTCCGAAAGCAAGTTAGATCCTGTTACTGCATTCTCAACAGCAGCTCTTAGCATATCGGGAGGAATGTTACGGACATGTCAGTGTATCACATTTTTCATTTCTGCCAAATTGTTTAGATTATCACCATAAACAGTGCTTTTGAGAAAACCCCATAGCTAAAAGTCACAGAGGTTGAGGTCTGGTGGGAAGAGAGGGGAAGTGTGTGGCCTATAAGACGTTCATTCGTGAAATGTTGCCTAAGTAACTGTGCGACACACGTGAGGTGGGGCCCAGCCCTGCATAAAAATCGTAGTATCTAAAATGCCATGTTACAATACTGCAGTTCATGTATCACGAAACATTTTAACATTGACTCTAAGTGAGCTGCAATCACAGTGATCCAGCTGTCGACTGCTCTTCAGAGAAAAATGGGTCAGTTATAAAACTAGCTGTCATTCAACACTAAACGGTGTGGAATGACTGCTATGCAATCAAGTGCAGTAGGAGAATGCAATGGAACTAGATAGATAACATGAGGAATTTCTTTGGTCCAAATCGATTATTTAGGGCTGAATTCAGGCTTAAAAAATTACAAATTAGCGATCTGTAAGAAAACGATTTCCAGATTGTATGCACTTGTGCGAGTGATTTGCGATCTCTCATTTTCTAATCGCTAATTCGTGGTTTTCACGGACGAATTTCTCACTTACAAGGATGGCGCACTTGACATTTATCGAATTTAACGCTTTTAAATGGTAATTTTCTTACTTCAAAATTCCTTAAGGGTATGCAACATATTAAACCCGTGTAACGAAAGGTTAAGTTAGATTCTGACCCATATTTCATTTAAAAATATTGCATACAGCGCCATTTTCCCCCTGGTGGTGAGGTTTGGAACTTCCTTTTTTTCGCCGAAAATAAATTCCTATGATCTCCTTTACACGATTACCAGGTTTGATAACATTTGATCCAGTAGTTTTCATTTTATGACCATTTCAATGTGGAACTTTAATTATAACCACTCCGTATATTATTAAATTTTCATTTGAAGCTATGCGTTGTATGTATACCATATGTAAATTTTTTGCTTTTATGGAAAAATAAAGAATCGAAGCAAATATACTTAAGATAATGGACCAAAACTGAAAAAATTTCCCCTCCCTTCGAAGATAAAATATTGAAATTCTACCTTGAATTTATTGGGTTATCGAAATATTTAATTTGACTTATCTTCGAAGTCCTAGTTCCGACAACAATTCCGTCAAAAATTCCGAATTACTTAAGCTGAAGTAAAAGATTTAGTATATATTCACTGTATGTTAATAAAGTAATCAGAGTGTAATAAAAATAGTATAGAATTTATGCTGATGCAACTTTTTGTCTGACTGCACAAAAGTAATGGAAGAGAAGGCTTGTAGAGCTCTGTTTTTGACATGCCTCTAAAAGTAGATGTCATGCTCCTTTTGTCTCTTCAATATCAAAAAACGTTCCTTTGAGAGGCAACTTTAGTTTTTGGGAAAGAAAAAAAAACACAAGAAGACAAATTTGAAAAACATGCAGGACGATTGAATACACATACTTATTTTCAGAACACAAGCAGTTCTCCGACTGGTTACTGAATAATGAAAAGATGCATTATCATGCAATACAAAACATTTGGAATACGTTGTCTGACTGAAAACATAAGATTAAAAGTCATCTGCTTAATTCACAGCCATTTACAAGTCAACTACTGGGGAGTTAATTGATTCCAGAATGTTGTGTGTCGTTTATATAATTATTCTTACTTGTCCACAGAAGCTGCTGACTTATCCAGCCATTAAGTAGCTGCAGATCATTTCTACATAACCATTGAACTTCCACTAATTCAGTCTCTAGAGGGTTGTATGTTTATATCATAATTTGACTTATATAAATGATTATTCTAAATCTTATTTTTTCTATAAAAAAAATATACTGTGCTTTAAAAAATATGGATGATAGTATCTGCCGCTCTTTCAGCCATTTCAAAAGCAACAGTTTTTGTTTAGAAATAAATAAATTATGCAGTTAATGTCATAAAATATTTTCATAAAATTCAAATAAAATAAACATTAAACGAAAATTCTCAGTTTTAGACAAATTTCGATTTAAAACGAAGTAAAGTAGCAGACGATAAAACGCCGAAGGTAAAAATGTACTCTTTTTTTTAAAAAAAAAGGAAGAAAGAGAGAAATTAAAAAACATTGTTAAAATTTGAATAATATCATCTATAATTTAAAAAATAGCCTTTCATATAGTATTAATAAATATTTATTACGCATCATTGAGGGAAAAAATTTCATATAATTAATTCTCCATAAAGTTTTGCTTGAAATTTAAGGTTAAAAATAGCTGTGGCAATTCAGTGTAACAAAAATCCATAGACCACATTTGGCGTTATTATCGCTCAAAAAAAAGATGCCAAATTTCAAAACGTGAAAATATGTAAATTCGTGTATATCTTAGAAAATTTTGAATAAAGAAGTCTAATTTTTTGCAGATATGCTTAAAAACACACCTTCTTTATGATGATGGTAAAAATTTTATAGGTTATAATTCAAAATTTTTTTCGAAAAATTTATAAAAAAATTATTTAAAAATAGAAATTTAAAAAAAATAAAACACAAAAAATGGGTAAATTTTATTTGGAATGAACCTAAATTTCAAAATGTCAGAGAAAAAATCAAAAAAGTTTAATAAAAAAAGAGATATTAATAAATGTTTGCCAAATTCAATTAACATTGAGGAGCTAAAATTTTGAGAGCTAATATTTTAAAAACTAGTCGTACGATTTTTACAAAACTTGGTATTCTGGCATAATTTGAGTCGTAGAATCGAAATATGTAAAAACATTGGTATGTTATTTCAGAAAAAGTCCGATTTTGTGTCAAAATACCTATGTTAGAATAGTGCTATATATAAATCTAATATATATCCTAAGTCGCGCTTTCGAGACATGAAAAACGCAGTTTGAATTTTGTCAATCGGCGCAGTAGAACGGGAGATATAGCACTGTCCTTTTTTTTTTTTTTTTTTTTTTTTTTTTTTTTTTTTTTTTTTTTTTTTTTTTTTTTTTTTTTTTTTTTTTTTTTTTTTTTTTTTTTTGAGCAGTGTACATATATCTTTTAAAATGCTGCTAATAATTTATTCTGCTATATTTCATGAAATGGAATTTGAAGATTTTCAGATATGATTAGCAAAAGATGTGATTTTCCAATTAATAAACTTTCTGGAGAAGTGGTTTGCATAATAAGGTGATAAAACATAAGTTTTCCATAGCAATGACAATTCTCCAGTCATCAGTCAGTTAATAAAACCTGTAGTATGGTTAATGAAATCTATGATATGGGTAAATCCAGAAAGTATTACTACGAATAGTGAAGAAGTAATAAAGAGGTTGCCGAGAATGAAAAGATGTCATGTGACAGTTCATAAGAATTCTTGACATGGCAGTTTCCTGGATTTGACTTGAACAATGGAACTTTGTAACTGTAGTGGATAAGTTTGTTAGTAGTAAAGAATGCAAGTATCAAAACTGATAGATAATCCGTGTTAGCTTTGATTGAATTAGCCAGTCCTAAACATGATGAAGTAATTTTGTATGCGATTAGATTTTTTTCTTCTTAAGAAAGCAATATAAACAAGCTCATTGAAATAAAACAGTTTGATGGTTTTAAGCATTTACCTTGTACTGAAAAGTTGATGTCATATATATATGATTACATTTGTCTCTCTTGCTAAGTTTTTTAATCAGTTTTTGGAAGTATTTACCAACCAAACCGTAGCGGCGCGCAATGAACTGAAAGTTGATCTGTCAGCTCTATCCTTATCTTCAGGGCAGATGTTTTTATTTTATTTGGCTTATAATTCCTTACTAAATGTAGTATTTCATCTCGATGTACTCCATCTTTGATATGATTTAAATCAAACTCCTTGTCATTATAAATATCACGAATACAAATCAAATAGTTTTCTGGTTGCAATTTTCTAATTTCGACTATGCATAATGTATGCTTTATGCAAGCGCGCGTTGAAAGAAATGTGTAATAAAGTAAACAAATAAATATTAAGCCTTTTTTTTTTGTAAATTTTGATACCCTTTAGATCATAATTGCTCTTTATTTCATAAATTACGATTTCATATTTTTAATTTTATAATTTCTGCATGCTGTCTTACCAGATTTAAATTGATGATCTATAATCTGGAAAAACCGATAATCCGGAATCGCCGAAGTCCCGACGAGTCTGGGTTAAAGACTTTTGACTGTATAAAGTTTAAAGTTAGTGACTCTTTCTGTATCATATATTTAGTTATATTAACCTGAAACAAGTGTATTGCTTTGCAGAAAGTGAGCATTGGGCATCCTTGAGCTTCTGTATGTCATCTGTGTAATGGCCTGTTATTGCCACATGTGCATTTCAAAATTAATAATGTACAAAAACTTGCAACAATTTTTTTCTCTGCCACTCTGAACTGCAGATAGGTAAAACTGAAAATGCTGTTATGTGGTTATCCTTTTTTGGATTGAGCCTCATGTACCAGTGTGCTGCTGTACATTGGTATAAAATTAACAATATCTCATTTCCCTTTGAGATCATTTTCCTCCATTACCAAAAGGGTCTTTTCCTTGTAAGGTATTTTGTGTTGTAATGCATGATGATTCTAATTGCAATCTAGTAAATTAAATATTATGTACCTTTCACATCATTAAGATACAATTCCATATCCATGACATATTATGCTTTTTCATGGATATATATGTATATTTGTAAAAATCATTTGGACTAAGTAATTAAAATTCATGTAATCTTTTAAAATTATAAATGAAGTGTCATGTTTTACTTATGCTCTTTTTTTTTTTTTTTTTTTTTTTTTTTTTTTTTTTTTTTTTTTTTTTTTTTTTTTTTGTTTTTTTTTTTTTTTTTTTTTTTTTTTTTCTTTTTTTTTTTTTTTTTTTTTCCCTTTAGAGAATGGGAAAAATACTATCCAAGATATTTGGTAACAAGGAAATGAGAATATTAATGTTGGGTTTAGATGCAGCTGGCAAAACTAGTATCCTTTTTTTTTTTTTTTTTTTTTTTTTTTTTTTTTTTTTTTTGTGTGTGTGTGTGTGTAAGAGATATTTAATCTTTAGTTGTAAACTCTAATTTCTATGTAGGGAGTTCTCAAGTTAAATTGAGACTTCATATTTTATGAGCATATGCAAAGATCTTAATACGAAACAGTAATCACGTTTAAAAGAATGATATGTATTTTTTTACTTCAAGATACATTGATGTCCTGTGGTTGTATAAGTCACTTATTAAATAAGAAAAGTGCTTCTAGGTGTAAAATCAGAACAGATGTTTCGGTGAAATTTTTAATAAATAAAGGAGCAAAATCAAATAAAATATATATGAAAATTTTACAGTGCAGTGATAAGATTCTTGCATTAAAACTTGATTAGTGCAAATGGTTTAGAGGTAGTAGTATTGCAGTGCAAGATGATACTAGCCAAAGTGGCTCAGAATCCCATGCAGTTATTCTCATCCGTATTCACCTTAATCTGCTGTAAAACAGACGATTTTATTTATTTATTATTATGAAAAATATGAACACATTCTTTATGAGCACCTACATTTTCTTTCGTTCTACTCTCAATCTACTGTGTATTAGAAGAACATTTTGACATGAAAGGCCGATGTTTTCTCCTTAGGGTTATAGCCTACAGTGAAACATAACAACCAGTATCTAAATATACAAAATGTATTTTTCCAACCTTTGATCATGCTAAGTGAGCAGCAGGCAGATCTGGGTGTTGTGCTATTGCACAGCTTTTCCTCTATAACATCTGACGTTGCCGAGTCCAGCTGATTGTTGGAGATGAGCGAAAGCCCTTTAGCATGGTTAAGATGATTGATCTTTGTGTTATATATGATTTGCACAGCATCATTCTTTTTTTACAGGCAGAAGGGATTAACACAGCAGAATGAGTCACATTTATAGTGCAGAATTAATGAGTGATGATGATGTGTGTGCAGAATTTATGAGTGATGATGATGTGTGAAATTGGTGTAGGAATTTTAAAGATAGTTAAACTAATATTCATTATGAAGATGAGCAGGGATTAGGGTTCCCTCCTCTCCTGGAATTGAGTCGTGGAAATTAAAATTTCCCGGAAGGAATTTAAAATAAATATTACTCTCCCGGAAGTTTCTCGAAAATAACGACACAATGCGCACGGATGGAATGGTTGAGAGCATCAAAAATCACACGACCACACACAGCAGCTAAAGAACGTCTATATCAATACATATTCTTTGCTGCAGCGATCTTTGGTGAGCGGTGAGTAAGCGCCTTATGGGATGAGTAGTGGTTTCATGCCGGCATACCGCGCGCACGCACCCTCATCTCCCATCACCCTCTCATTTTCAATCCATTCTTTCATTTAGTCTGCAATTAGCTAGCTTCCGCAAATAAGTGCGTATTTTGAAATTATTTAAATGCTTTCATAAGAATGTCTAGTGAAAAAAACGATTTTGATTCTGCAAGTGAGCAAGTGCCACAAAAAAGACAAAATATTCGACATCATTTCAAGACAAGTGGTGAACTCCATTTGATTAGCTTAAGAAGAGAGACAACTTTAATGAAAAATGTAATGTAAAGGAAAATGGTTAATATTAAGTATGAGGTTGTTAGAGCTGTAACTGTACATTCCCAAAGCATGAAACACCAGTCGTTAATATTAAATAGGGATTCATCACAATCGGTTTCAAACTTTTTTCGTGATGAAATCTTCAGAAGAACAAGGCAATATATCAGCAATTGAAATTACTTCAGTCTATCATGGGATTAAGCACCATTACACTTTTAATAGCCAGGATTGCACAAATTGTATAGCACTCTATTTCCAGATTCTTCTTTGGCAAAAATGATTTCTTGTGGTAGAACAAAATGCACAAGTATGTGCGAGAGTGTGCTTGTTCCTGCAGCTCAAAAATTACTTTTAAACGAGATTAAGGAGGTGGAGTTTTTTTCAGCTGCAACAGAAAAAAAAAAACTTTTTTTTCTTCTCCCGGAAACTTTTTTTTCCTTTCCCGGATTTTGACAGCCAAGAGGTGGCAACGCTAGCAGGGATGGAAATCTGTCGTTAGTGAAGATATTGATTGTTCAATCAATTGGCCAAGTGGTTAAAAAAAAGATGAAGGTGAACTGTTTATTGATTTTTCATACATGTAAGGGTCAGCCTGTACATGATCGTAATGGAATACCTATGTTACTGGAAACTGAGCACATTGGGTTTCGAAAGGCTATCTGAGGACCAGAAAATGCGGATAATGGGATTAGCCTCACATTATGCTGAAGAGGGGAAATAGTTTTTTAAATCACTCATGACAGGAGATGAAACTTTGATTCTTCATGGCAATCCAGAACTGAAAGACTATTCCAAACAATGGATGCATGGAAACTCCTGAAGCAAATTCAGAAAGTTCAAATAAATATTCAGCAACAGGAAGGTCATGGCTACTATATTCTGGGATCAGAAAGGTTTGGTACTCATGGATTTTGTTGACCTGGAGACTACAATAACTGCAAGCATGTATGAACCAGACACAGTATTGCCTGCAGAGAACCATTCAGAACAAAAGGAAAGATGTGCTGCCTTCTGGAATTGTTTTTGATTTATAGCATTCATTGGGAAGTATTGAATCACTTAGTGTACTGCCCAGACCTAAAACTGAAAGGCTTTCGTCTCTTTCAAGAGCTGAAGACAGATATGGGAGAACAGCACTTCTGCACAAATGACGAGCTTCAAGCTGTCTTAGAGACCTAGCAAATTGGGGGTAATCTATGAAGCATATATTAGAAAACTCGTCCACCATTATGAAATATGTCTCATTCTTCACAGTGACTGTGTCGAAAAGTAATTTTATTTGACTCCTGGTAATAAAACTAATTTGTTATTCATACTTGTCTTTATTGGAATTAAAAAAAAAAAAAAAATTCCCCCTGATACATTATCAGTACCACATTACCTTTACGGTTGACAACTCACTTCAAGCAGTGAAATGAAGTAAGTGGTCTGATCATCATTCCCAAATGCTGGGTAGTTTTGTTATACTATTGGTATCAAGCACTAGTAAAATGCATGTCAATAATTACTAGTATAGAGATTGATTATGTCTAGAAATAAAAGTTATTCCTGTTTGTCTAGCATATGATCTGTTATTTTGAAAACAAAGAAATAAATCCCAGTTTGACTTGAGTCACTTAGTTATTTAACTTTTTTATTAAATATATAATGCATTTTTGTTCATGCATGTTATATTAGAAATGTAAATACAAACTTAAAATATATTTAAATATTGTTTTTGATTATTGTAAAACATATCAGACTCTGGAATATCATTTGTACCACTGCGTTCTTGTTATTCTCTTTATGTAAAATATACTGGCATAAAAACATGTTCTTTTGTTATAACTGAATATAAGTTATTGTTTTTTTCCTTAATTTTTCACAGCAGTTTTATACAAGCTGAAACTTGGGCAATCTGTCACAACTATACCAACTGTTGGATTTAATGTTGAAACAGTTACTTATAAAAATGTTAAATTCAATGTATGGGTGAGTAGTCTTATATAGTAATAATTATTGTTATCTTTTGACATGCTTCACCAGTTCAAAAACATAACTACAGATGTGAGGATATATTATTTTAGTCTAAGGTGACCAGATGTCCCGATTTTTAACAATTTGTCCCGTGACGTTTTAAAAAAGTACCGATTTTTGGAAAGAATGCACTATAAGCTAGGGAACGGCGGGAGAATATGGTTTTCGGCGGCCATGTGGCTAACTTCGCCAGGATATGTATCTTATATTCTTTTTGTTAATTTTATAATGTTAAATTTTAATAATAACAGATAATTGTTGACAACTGATTATCGAGAACTGCTTATCAAAGTTCGCATTGTTAATCAGTTGTTAGAATTCCGCCACCGTTGTTTGGACTTATGGCATTTTTTGGCATTGGCATTGACGAAGACATTTTGTAACTGTCTCTCAGACGATACACATCATACTGCATGCTAGTGCTAGTTAAACAAGTAATGTCTAACAAATCAGCTATTCAGATAATTTTAGGTACTTAATTAATTAATTTATTTCATAAACACATAAATTTTCTTGAATTTTAGCAGACAAGTACTCTTATTATTTATATTTTATAGTGGCGGACAAAAGGTCTAGCATCAGTCTTGAAAGTGACACTTACGACTTACGTTACGGCAAATTCAGAGGAAAAATAATACATACTTGTTAGTACTGTTATTATTTAGAAAGACTTTAATTAGAAATAGGATTAAAGATTAAAAATTTAAATAATTTTTAAATATAGTTACATTATAACAAACAAATTAATTTAATTTTTAAACTAACAAAAATATGTTCAGGTAATTATGTACCTACTTACTGTTTTTTTTTAAGCAATATATATAGATAAAAATTTATAATAAATTACTTCTTTAGATTTTAACATAATGAGTAAAAACGAAAGATGCAAATTCAAAGATGATCTAAGAAGTGAATTTCCTTTTGTTAAAAAACAAAAAACAAAAGCGATCACATGTAAAATGTGAGAAATGTAATGGTGAATTTTCTATTTCACCTGGCTGGAAGAATGATATTTCAAAGCACTCGGGGACACAGAAACATAAAAGATATTTAAATACTTCTTCCTCCAAAATGCATCTTCCTCCAAAATGCATGAGTTTTTTTAGAAAACAATTTATGGAGACAAAGAAAAGAAATTAGCATTAGCAGAAGGACATGTTTTTTCATGCTAATAATCACAATCATTCCTTCAGATCTTGTACATCGCAAGTTGTCCAAAAGTTATTCAACAAAAAAACGACAGCAATCTACTAAAAAAATTCACTCAAATTTGAGAAATATGCCCAAGAAATAAAATAATACTATATGTAATTTTTTAATGTATTATATTTGTAAACTGTACTTATGTTGAAATTAAAAATATATATATTACAATACTATTTTTGCATTCTATGAAAATTTGTGTTGCTCCATATAGACCAAATTTTTAATCAAGAATCGGCCCCCCCACCCGGTCAGTGGTGTCCCGCTTTATCAATGTTAAAATCTGGTCACCTTATCCTAGTCGCTGTGTCAGATACTTAGTTGGATTCAATCAACTGAAATTTAAAATATCATTTTTTTTTTCTGCTTAGGAGATTGAGGTGGTTTTTCTAACAATGGTTTTTTTTTTTTTAAACTATTTTTTGTTTTCTTTTAATTTACTATTACAATACATTTATTAAAGAACTATTTATAATAAGTACAATGAGGCTTATGTGTTTTACATGATCTATTTATTAGGATATCTCCCACTATGATTCGACTGAAATTATTAGTAAATCCCATGTATTATTGTGATTTTAGCTTCTTTTCATCAATGATATTCAGTAAGGAAGGTTTTTATGCTTAATATTCTGAAAAGTGCTGGGAAGTGTTTACCACGAAACTTGTTTGTAAATTTAAAACTCATGATTTTCAAAGGCCTGTTGTAAGAACTGTTGGAATTGTCTTAAATCTTTTCATGAAAGCTGTCAAAAGGATATAGGTAGTAACCTATGGATTACTCATCCCAACTATCGTATGAGAGCCGAAGAATTAATGAATTTTGCATTTGACTACCTTTTCTTGCCACATCAACATTGAAGTGGAACTTCAATGTTGATGTGGCAAGCTTTATGAGAACATCGGTTATTTTGTTTATTAACAAATTTTGTTTTGAGGAAGAAGGCAATCAGTCATCATCATCTGAATCTTCTGTTACCTTGTATTGTTTACTGCATTCTGATATGAGCCTTACTGCCTTGTTAAATTTTCTTTCAATTGGCATGTGATTTCTGCTGTAAATGAAGTCATCACCATAAGCTTGCATTATGCATTTGTTTAAGCCAATATTAAGGCCTCTGTTAGCAATTACATTCCTGAAGAATTAGATCTATATTTGAATTTGGTGTCACTCCTTTCTGGTAGCTCTGCATTATGTTGATACCTTCTCTTTTATAAGTTGTCATCTTGTTGCGAGGGCAGTTGAGGATCATATCAAAAAAGAGACCTTTTAGTTACTTATCCTGTCTGTGTTGGTCTTTCATTGTTGGCCATCACAGTTAATTGAAGAGAGTACAAGATCATACATAAAGCATGCTTGTTTTTATTAATTCTGCAAATTGTTGTGTTTGTACTGCTTTATCCATTAGTAAATCCAAACTGTATAGGGTTTAAGAGTATATCTGGTAATAATGAAAGTTTTCTGCCAAAACATTCTTAAAGAGTTAGGGAAAAGAAAGCATGAAAGCAGTACCTGTATTGGGGGTAGCAATCACCTCCCAAATCTATGATTTTCTGCCAACATTTTGGTTGTTTTTCAAGGCCTTTGGCCCAGAAACTTGGTAGCCAAAAAACAGATCAACCTCATTTCAGATGTCCTGTGCAAAATGGAAGATGTAGGTGTAGGTGTAAAAAAAGATAGAAGTCCAAAGGAGCGATGTTGAGGCTATATGGTGGGTGTGGCAAAAGATCCCATTAGAGTCTGTACAGAGTCCAGCTGGTGAATGCAGACATATATGGTTTTGGTTTATATGTATAGCAGCATTAACACAGAGCATCATTTTGCTGTACACTTTACTGTCAAGGGTTTTACCTTTTTCCAGATACTCTTTGTGGATAATACTGCCATAATCCTACCAGATACAAAGCGTGATCTTTTTGTTAGTAAAATTGCACTTTTTGATGCTGCCGACAAGCTCACTGGGCACAGACCAACTGCCTTTTTTTCAGCCTGTGTTAAGTGTGATGAAACTAAAGCCACTTTTCATCACAAGTAATGATCAGGTCCAGAATTTTGTCTTTCCATTGATATTCGAGCAGATCAGTACAGGCCCGAACATGTCTATTGTTATCTGATTCAGCTCATGTGGCATCCAGCGATTGAACTTGTACATCAAGTTTATGCAATGCATAGCATGACTAATAGACATGGCACCAATCTCTAACTCCTTAGCAAGCTCTCGATTGGTTGCATACTGATCTTCTTCCACGGATTCTCTCAGGCGGGACTTATCAACATCAGTAGGACAGCCAGAGCACTCTACTTCTTCCATGTCATAGTCCTTATTTTTGAACTCTCAGCGTCAAACCTGCACAGTGTCATATGATACAACATTAGTACCTAAAGCTGTACACATGATTTGGTGACATTCTGTAGGTGACTTTTTGTAACAGAACCAGAAGTAAATGGTGGTTTTAATCTGGTAACCATTAATCTGGTAATCTAGTTCCATTTCAGACACCTTGTACTTAATGATAATGATATTTTTTAAGAAATTTCACAATAGTTCTAAAGCAAGTCTCTTTCTTTTACATGCCAAAAATGGTTTGACAAAATATGATTAAACATGCCAACATGAACTGTTTGCACAGACAATATTTGTGGTGATGAGAAACTTTTGTTAAAACCTGATATATACCTATGGATATATGTTTAAATGTCATGAAAAAAAATCCATTTTAAATCTATTTCACAGCTGGAAAAAAAGTCGTTTATTCTATCTGTATGTAAAGGCGTCACACAATATCATCCAAACTGATTTAGGACCCTTCAAAATGGATACTCCCATTGAAATATTATACCTAAAATTTTTCGTTATCACAATACTTCCTTTACTTCATACAAGGAAATACAAAAAATGTCTCCTTTTTTTAAAACAAGTTAATTCTATTACTTAAATTGGATCATTTTAATCATGCATTATTTATTTTTCTAATTGGAAACAAAATTATCTCAGCTAAAAACATTAATTTGTTTTTTAAATTTTAAAGATACCTGCCCCTTAAATAAAGGTTTGTTTATTTAAAAAATATTTTTTATTTATGTATTAAAAATTGTAGTGTATATTTATAACTGGTATATTTTCAGGATGTTGGTGGACAAGATAAAATCCGTCCACTTTGGAGGCATTACTATGCTGGCACACAAGGCCTAATTTTTGTAGTTGATTGTGCTGACAGAATTGAAGAATCAAAGCAAGAACTGCACAAAATAATTAATGATAGAGAGATGAGAGATGCAGTTGTTCTTGTTTTTGCAAATAAACAAGATTTACCCAATGGTAAGATAATGCATAATAATATGTTAAAATTTTCTGTAGTATTAGGAGATTTTAATGACTAGCAGTATCTTTTCTTTGGAGTTAAGGTCTGGCTTTTGTTATAGTTAGAAATACAAAAATTCACAAATCAACTTTTACGTAAACTTTTGTCTATAAAAATAATTTAATTTTCATGCTTACTGGCTGATTATGTGGAATATTTTCTGCCTTGATTATAATATTGAAATGAAAAAACAAAAGTAGGTTAGATAACATTTAGTAGCACCATCCCCTGGCAACATGAAAATAATTATATAAGGATCATAGCAAACTGAAAGAAGACTATCCTGCAAGATTACAAAGATAATCATTTATTTTAAAAGGAGCCAGTAAGCTATCAGTGGTTTTCAATCATCAGGCATCATAAACTAAACTAACATTCTTTATGCTAACTGTATTGATAGCAGTACCATCTCATTTCAAAGGATTTAACTTTCCCCCCAGATTAAAATTGCAAAATTTCAATAAATTTTATGAAGAAAAAACTCTTAAAAAATTAATATTACTATGGCATTACAGTACAAAGCAATTTTTTTAAACACACGCAAAAATAGATGTTAATTTTTCAGTTTGAACTCCCTGATGGCAAGTATATATATGGTCTCGAATTTTTTATATGACATCTTGAGGAACGTATATATGTGTACATATTAAAATATGTTCAGGAACTTAAGGTAATGTATTAAAATGCATAAATCCAAGTATAAAGTACCAAGAGTATTTGGGCACAAAAATCAAGAAAATACCTCTTTCTCATGGCAGTTTTGGGAAATTTGGACTTTGTTCATGAAACTCCAGGCCAGTTAGAAAGTTAAAATCCCAATTTTTAGTTTTCATCATGCATGATCATACAAGACCATCACATCCTCTCAAAACTTGAATTATACAACCTGCATCTTGCTTAGATTTAGCTGTTCCTTCTAGTAAAACTATATCACCGATTTTAAGATTCTTCTTAGTTCAGGTATACTGAAGAAATGAGCATTTCTTAAGTCAAGAAGATACTGATTTTTCCAAATCTCTTTTATAAGTGTTATCTGATGTTGTTTTTGTTTTATTAGACTTTTTCTTGTTGGAGAAGTATTCAGGATCTCGGGAACGTTGTATGGATATTCAGCTATATGTCTGATTAGTAGAAAATCAGCCAGTGTAAGTGGAAAATTTTGGCAGTATGCTCCTTTAATTATGCTGTAAAAATACTGAAAACTTTTGGCTGCATATTTTCACATTGTCCAAATACAAGTTGCAACACTTCCCTCTTCATGAGATGAAACATTAGAGAGCCAAAATAAATTTATTTGCAGACGTATTGGAAATGAGTTCCATTTATAATGCTTGTATAACAGTGCACATAAGCAATACCGTGTTTGTTTTCTGAATGCCATTTCCAGATTTGACACAAGCACGTCCTGTGAAATCCACACCAGTAACATAGAAAGGTGGTATTTCGGCAATCTGTTCTTTTAAGCATTTAGATGCGATTTGTTTCTGGTTTTACTGCATATTTTTGACATTTTAGACAGTTTTCTACAACTTTCTTCATCAGTTGGGGTCCTTTAAGAATCTAATTTAAGAATCTAGTTTGACTGAAGTAGCCGCAACTCCTGCGTCTCAGAAATTGTTATGTTCTCGCTTTACAATTAATTCAGTAAATTTGGAATCTTTAGGAAGAAGAACTGCATGTTTTTCATCACCTGCATATTCAGTTTCTTCTAGTATTCCCTTAATTCAAAGAATTTGGTTTTCATCAAGAAACAGTGCCAAGCTGAATTTACTAGAGCTCAGAGAAACTGACTTGTTGAATTGAAATGCTCTAATATCAGATATGAAGAAATCCATCTAAGCTTTGGAACACAAAATAATCTAACGTCCTGAATTTCAGAAGCACTTAATCAGTCATTATTGGCAGGCAGTTTTCTTGCTGTAGTAACAAAATGTTTGATCCAAGCTAGAATTCTGAGAAATTTCATTATGTTACTGAACTTTCTTATGTCTAATGGTTGTTCACATATAAAATATATTAATTACATATAAAGAAACATATACCATATACTAGGATTAAACCGATGTAATTTCACATAGATTTAATCCTAGTATACAGTACACATGGGATTTGGTGACCTGATGATGAGCAGTAAACTATTCTTTTTGGTGTTGGCAACAATTTTTAAAATCGCACCTAGGCCATATACCATATACTAGGATTTTAGTGTGTAATATCATAAACAGATATCTTACTGCAGTGTTCTAGTTGTTTGTTGAACTAGTTTATGCCATGGTTTTGTAACCATTCTGGCTCAAACTACCAAAGTGAACAAGTCTTTTGAAAATTTACACTTAAACCTCTGATTAGTGTATCTGTGGGATTTTTCTTACCACTGCAATATTTCCAGTCATTTTGATTCATCAAAGTGGGAATTTCTATGACACTATTAGAGACAAAAGGTTTCCAGTTGCTTTATTCCAATGTAATACAACTTGCAAATCTGTCCAAGTATATCTGGTGACAAATATGATTAAATAATTTAGTTAGATATTTTGCAATTCTAGCTGCCATAACAGCTCCCAACAATTCTACTTGAATTAATGTTACTCTGGTTTTTGATAAAATGAAATTTGTTTTGATTTCACCAAACTTATTTGTATATCAGAAATATGTTACACTCCCTTATGCATTATTACTGGCTTTGCAGAATATAGATATGTAATTAAATATCACTATTTTTCTCATCAACACTTTGAAAGTATTTTCTGCGTGTCGATATCTCTTCTAAAGGAATTATTTCTGTAAGCCACTTCTTAAATTCAGTTTCAATATCATTTAGATGCTGTTTGTCCCATTTAAGACTTTTTATCAATATCTGTTGTAGCAAGATTTTAATTCTAATCACTAAAGGAGATATAAATCTAGTTGGATCATAGGTTTTTAACTGTTCTTTTGTATATAATACACAGCTAGTTGATTATGATTCTAAATTAAGTAATGTATCTCAATTAAGGCCTAAAATTTTAGCTTGCGCAAAGGAATTGATTGATAAATTGAAGGCATTTATTGATAAATCATTTTTAACCACATGTGTTTTGTCTCCTTAAAATTTGAATTGAATTTACATAGACATAACCGCATGCATTAAAATGATAACTGCATCAGATGACAGGTATGCCTTTTCTATAATTGCTCCATAATATGAATTGGCATATAAAGATGAATTCAATATTTCATATCTTTCAGGTTTGTACAGGTAGAATGAATGGACAGGTAAATGGTAAATGGATCATCTTAATAATTTTGAACAGTTTATAATTGTTGTTTTGAAACCAAAAATAATTTTAAATATTTGTGATCTTACTCGGCAATATTTATCATTAGAAATGTGTATTCTATATCAGCCAGTAAAGCGATATTATATTCTCAAAATTTAACCCCTTCGAGCCGGGTAGCGAAAACGCGCGCTTATCGCTGAGGTCGGCAGTATCTTACGCGAGTGTCTCTCCAGGGCCGGGGGCTTTTTTGCTACTAAACCTAAATCCATGAAATTTCCGAAGTATCAGCGCATTGTTTAATAATGCTCTATAGAGTATTTAAAACTTATTATGCTTTATAAATATTATATATATATACTTTAATTACCTTATTCTTGTTTAAATGCATATTTTTACACATTTTATTTTAATTACTCACCATTTTATGAATTTTAACATTATACATCTGAAAACTAAATATATTACTTAAAATTCTCTTTTCGTATGAAAAATTTGAAAACAGGGATCTACACACAGTCCTACGTTACATTCCTTGCACTCGTAATTACTCATTTGCCGTTTTGGAGGATTTTTTTCCGGGAATGTGAACAAACGAAGCATCGTCGTCTCATTTCTTATCAGTCTCTTCTGAATAAAGTTTTGGGAAAATGTCTTTCAGTTAATCTTTCAGAATCAATATCTGAAATATTTTGCATCATTTCTGCTATTTCATGCTCTGTTAAACATTTTCGACGCTTCGCTTCGACATTGCAACAGTAAAAACAAAGAATTCACGTCTAACAAGATCTAATTATTTTCTAAAAACTGAACTGCAAAAACCGAAATACTCAACGCTTTAGAGCAAAAATAAAACTTATCTACTTACAGTAAACAACTAACCACGTGCGAATAAAGTGCGATTTAAAGAGACGTCATAAATCACGCCATTCGGAAACATTTATTTCCCCGTTTGTTTATATAATCAAAAACACGTGTATGTGAGTCATGCTTCTCTCATTTCGAGTAGAAGGTCTAATTTACATGTATCTGAAACCATATGGACATACAGTGCCATCTTGTGGCAGAAATTATAGTTTGAAAAACGTTCCAAAGTACTGGCACAAATACGTGACAGTCGGTAGAGAACGCAAAAATCCTCTGGCACGCCTGCGTGTCGGCCGGTAGGTAAGTGTGTTCGTTGCTGGCATGTATACGTGACAGTCGGCGCGAAGGGGTTAAGAATGACATCTAATATGTTAGGATTTAAATTAGGTCCAGCCTTTAACAAATCATTTAAGGATTTAGAATTTTCTCCTTTACATGACACATCAAAAACAATTCTAACATGAATATTTTCTATTGTTATTCTAGCACAAAGTTTCTTTGTCTAGTCTTATCACTGCTCTTAGCCCTGTTCACAAGAGCAGATTCAACAGTTGGCAAAAACCTGTTTTTCCAAAATGTCCCATTCAGATAGTGAATAAGCATTAACTGCCTCTTGGAACTGAAGGTAAGGTAGAATGCACATACCTGTCTGGAGCAGGGCAAAGGGGAGATTTCCCATACTGCTCTGCTCAGTTGCACAGTTCACTTAATTTTAGTAAACAACATAGCTGACATGCAACTGACTGCTCGCTGGACTGTCGATGAAACAGTTGCATTGATAGAGATCTGGAGATGCGATAGCATCCAAAAAAAATTAGATGGAACTGTGAGAAATACGGAAATTTATAAACAAGTACAGACAAAATTAGCTGATACTGTGTATTCCAGGAATGCTGTTCAAATTAAAATTATAGGTGATCAGACACGATTATCGCCTTCAACGTGACAAATTAAGGATATCTGGAGCTGGTTGTAAAATTACTTTCGAGGTTTTTGACTAAATGGACAGAATGACCTCTAAACGACGCATATTCGATTGTTGGTACAAAAACAGTTGCAGAAAAAGTGTATTTCTTTTTTGAACCATGATAAAAACTCTGGTAACGTTCTATAGCGATAATAAACAATGTCAAAAAAGATGTACATGCCTCCCAAAAGTGTTCGTGCACTTTAAGAATTTGCAGAAAAGTGCTGTAACCTAGAAGCTGAATTCGAACACAAAGCCCGAAATTTTTTTCGTGTCATCTCGATGTGATAAAAACAAACTTCATTTATTTTCTTTTTCTAAAATTGAAAATGCTTGCAGTGGTTTATGGGTTAAGGGATGGAAAATGATATGCATTTGAACCGGTCCTGAAGGCGAAACTGTATGTTATCCCATTTTCTCCCTAATACGAACAGTAGCTGCGTGGAAGACCGTTGCATGTGTGCAGGGCGTATGGAGCATATAATAACCTGATGCGAGATTTTTATTTTGATATACTTCAACAATTCCATCTTCAAGCCCTGTTCTTCAATTATTTTTTTATATTCTTTACTCACTTCTATATCCTTATCCAATCTATCTCTGAAAATCTCTAAAACGCTTCTTCGTAATTTGAAAATTGTTATTTAATCCACCAGAATTAGATTTCCAAAGTAATTTATTTTGATGTCTACCATTATTAAAAGATGAAGATTTTTCAAATTTATCAATTATTTGTTTATCTTTAACAGACAATTCTACACTTTCTACTGAAATACCAATTAAGTGTAATTCCTAAAACTCTCTTAGGTCATAATTTAATTATTATATGCACACACACATGTATGTATTGGACATGTATGCACATACACATATATTTGTATATGTTTACAATTTAAACAAGTCACTTTAGAATATAATTTCATTATTATTTTTTTAATATATGTAATGGTTTTCCAAGTTCTGATAATCCCATTTGTATAGTCAATTTAAGCACTTTTTTATATATTTATTTATAGCAATGAAGCCTCATGAGGTACAAGAAAAATTAGGCCTCACAAGAATACGTGATCGTGTGTGGTATGTACAGCCGTCTTGTGCTACAACTGGCGATGGTCTATACGAGGGTCTTATGTGGCTTACTGCAAATAATAAATCTTGAAGAAATTATTACTAAATATTATGAACCAAATAAATTGTTTCCTTTGTTGTATGAATATCTAAATTAGTCTTCCTTTAATAAGCCTATTTATAGAGAAAGAGATGCTATGTTTACAATCTCCTTTCCTGCTCTGGAAATTCTCTGAGTGTGTGTAATTTATAATGGGCTTTTAAGAGTTTCCATGGAGTTGTTAAGTTTTGAATATTAGCTGTTCATAAGAAATGTAAAATTTTTTGGCATAAATAGTTTTTTAAGTCAATCAAATTTATCTGAATTTTTATTGATATTTGACAGTCGCAACGCTTTTAAAACATTCCATTGTAATTTGTTATTTATATTAAAGGGTTAGTAAGTATGGTATGTAATACTTACAGTGCTGTGATTCTCCATAAATAGGCTTAGATATTCTAATGCATTTATAATATATTTATTGATAAAAATGCTTTATCCTGTTGTTTGTTGCAAATGAAAATGTATCTGATTGTTTTATTGTGCTAAAAGTGCATCAGAATTTAAATCTGCACCTTTATGTTCATATCATGCATGGATAATATAGGTATTCCATATGTACAGTGTTTGCTTGGTAACAGAATTTTCTGTGCCCTTTGAATAATATTGTTTATTTATGTATTTATTAGTTTTTTAGTATCTTTCCTTTCCTTATTAGCTAGTTGAATGAATAAATTATTCAATTTACCGATACATTTGTATTAACTAATTATTGCAGTATTTTAAGTCTCATAAAAAAAAAGATTGAAGCAATGCACAAAGGTAGTTGCAAATATTTATAATACTTAGCTTTTATACAAAACTAAAATATTCCATTATAGTTTCATAAAAAAATTGAAATCTAAGACTTACTAATATTTAAATTATTTCTGAAACTCCAATTAGCTTTAAAACTATGTTCTTTTTTCTTCCCCTTTCCCTGAAAGTAATTGTTTCACATTTTCATTTCTGGAGTTGGTCAAGTATGATTGGTGATTCTTTGTGCAGCTAGATTTCATATTTATACACACACACATATGTAAGTGCAAATTAGTTTATGAAAAATTGTTGAAGGATAATATTTTTCTTAAAATCATTGATTTATGCTAATATAACATTTTTAAAAGTGCCAAAACTTCTTCCAGGTTTTTTTTCTTTACGGAAGCCATATTCAAAGCTATATAGTTTTTATATATATATTATTCTGTGATATAATATTCTTTTTTAATGTGCATATTATCATCTATATTTGTGTTTCTGTTTTCATTATTGCATATGAAAAAAATTAAATTTTGTTCATTTTCTAAAGAATGAGCTAGATGCTTTGTTGTTCTAAAAGTTTGTTTTTCGTGTTGTAGTAAATTTATCTTTTTTTCTATAAAACTGATTGATCATCCAGAATAATTCCCAACCTATTTGTTATTCAGAATATTTTTCTCATTAAGTATTTTATGGTCCTAAATGTTTATGAAGCATGTTTATATTTTTAACAAAATATATTTAAGAATGTGCAACATCTTGTTGTGCCATAATATATATATTGATAATTATTTAACACATTGACTGTGAAGTGTGAGATAAATCGTAGCAGCATTTTGGCTTTGGATGGCCATTATGAATATTCATATTTGTCTGTCAATTTATATTGCGAACTGCGAATGTTTTATAGCAAGTATGTGTTAATTATATATATCGGGCACCTGGGATAAGAATAGTGAACATGTATTGGAGAGGGAAAAAACTAAATTCATTTATTCATAAAAATAATGCAAAATCAACCTTTTTTTACAAAAATTGCTTTATTATTTTGTAGGAGTAAATTTTAAAAATGCATATAATTTCCATCGATATCTGAATTGCCCACCAAAAAAAAAAAAAAACTTGCTCACTGAATCACTTCCCTTTCTTCTAAATACTTTTCGGTTACTTTCTTTTAAAGCAATATAATTATTCTGATGATGCCCTGATTCCTTCATAAAATACTTAAAACTAAATGATGTTCTGTCACATGCAGCAATATCTAATATTCTGAGTATGTAAGACCAAAGCACATTCCTGAGTGATGGGTGGAAGGATGGTACAATATAACTTATATTGCATGCCTGGGGTCAGAGCCTGTGTATGCCTTACGGCTGTGAGCATGTCAAAAATAAATTTAGTATTTAACTGTTTTTTAGCTGTGTATCTTTTTAAAAAATTTTTTCTGTATATTAAATATATCTCTATCAGCCCCCCCTCCAATTGTGTTAAACAGCTGTTTAAATCAAAACAAAGAATACTGAAATAGAAAAGCACGCAAGACTGGGTATGTTGATAATTAAACAAGTTCTACTTTATTGAATTTGAAAAAAGTTTAATATTAAAAGACTTGTATAAATGTTGTTTCCATGTTCTAGCACATTAGTTCTTTTCATTCAAATTTTAATGAATTAAACTAATTTTTATTTCACAAGTAAACTATTATAGTGCTGTCAGTTTATCGACCATTGATTGAAATGCTTTATGATTTCAAATTAATTAGTTCAGTTATTAATGGTTATCCATTTGTATTTTCATTCTTTATGCTCAAAAATCCACTTAAAGAAACAATGTTTAAATGAAATAAATTAAGGAAAAAATAATGTGTTGCTCTCTAAAGGAGAGAAGAAAATACTGTGTTTAAATTGAACGGTTTAAAAAATGAATGTTATTGATTCTCGAATAAAAAAGGTAATGTTTTACTTTGCGGTCTTGCTAATGACGAAGTCCTTATGTTCTGAATCATCCACATAGTTTTTCTCTGTTTTATATATGTCATGTATAAGATATATTTATTTGATTTCTGTAAAGCATTGTTTCTTTTGGGTGTACTTATCTACTATTTATGATGTAATTGACTATGTCCAGGATCCCGATTTTTAAATAAAGGGAAAAGCATGATTTAGATTACATTGTATTTTGTAAAACAGCTTTAAAATTGAACAGTATTATCATGCCTATAAATATACAGTGCTTTTTATAAACCATTTTCTACTTAATTTTTTGGCCAAAAGCAATCATAAATATTTTCTCATCTGTAAGTTCAGTTGTACTCTGCATGTGAAACTGAAGTATATTGTTTCTAGCTTGTTGAGAAAATTTATTTTATCTTACAAATAAATCTAAATTATAGTGTTATTTATTTCAAATATGATCAAAGGAAATGAAATGGTATTGTATTGAGAATAGTTCTGCAAACCAATTAAATAAAACTTTTTATTCTATGCTTCAGAGTAAAAAAAAAATTATATGTATAGTTTTTTTTTTAATCCTCTATAAAAAGTTGAGGAAATTACGTCGATATTAATTGTTATATAATTAGTTATTTATTAAATTTGTAATCATAAAATAGTAATTTATGATTAAGTTTCTAAGTATGGTGCATATTTTATGACTTTTAAACAGAATTAAAACAATTTTGAATTAATCTCCAGTGTATAATTAAAAATACATGTAGAGAAATTGAAAAAGCTTAAAAGTAGAAAAGATATAGTATTATAAAAAATTGCATTGAATATTTTTTCTTTTTTAAAGAATAAAAAATTGCGATAGATCCAGTTATTTTATTTTTCATAGTTTAGAGCTGTCTAAGAAAATTGACACAAAATAGTGTTTCATATTTAGATCGTCTTTGAAAATATTTAATAAATTTAAGAGATTTTTAAGTAGTTCTTAATTATGAGTTTCAGAACTTTTAGTTTTTTCTTTTATTTATTATATTTGTTTAAAAGTTAAGTTTTCTTTAACTTTCAATTTTTCAGCTCTTGTGAATATTTTTAATAATCTTCTACTGTTTCAATAGATGTTTCTTCGACTATTCTTGAATATTATCATTTATATAACAGAAAAATGACATAAGTTGATGGGTGTGGTTTTTAAAGTGCAACTTTTAGTTATATTTTTGGGAGATGATGAATATGTGAGAGATCTTTTTTGTCATGCATTATGTGGAGGCGAAATTCAGTTCATTTAGCACTTTTTATATATAAACAATTATTATTTATTTTATAACCTTAATTCCTTATTTTCATTGCAGTAGTCTAAAATTTTATATATATAACATTTATATTTTTAAATTGAAAATTAAAATTATCATTTTATGTAACATTGAGAAATAATATAAAAATAAGTTGAAAAGCTTTTTAAAATTTGACTATTTAAAAATAAAACTTTTTTGGGGAGCTTAAATTGCAGCAGAATGCCTGCCAGCATTCATTGAAATTTTTGTGATTAGTTTTTGGGAATAATTGGCATCTAAAGTTTAGAGTTATAATATATTTGTTCTTGTTGCTGTGTGATTTTAATATGTAATATATTATAAATGTAAAATTGACAGTAGGAATTCTGCAGTAATGCATGTATATGGGAAGAAAATCTCAAAAGTATATTTTCCTTAAAATCGAAAAACAGGGAGCTTTAACTGTTTGGAATTCTCTTCCCAAGTGTCAGTTTGTTAAGTCAGGTTTTATTAAAACCTTTATGCTCAGAGAAATCTTTAATATGTATTTCTGTAGCTTACCAATAAAGTATTTGGTTCTCATTAAAGGAATATTTTTATTAACAAAGGGTGTATTAAATGAAAAAATAAATAAAATATGCATCCATAACTGACTATAACTGCAATTTTCAACTTTTATCAATAGAATGAAGAACAATCAACTTTAAAAAACAAAAATTAATTTGTTGATATAAAACTAGTATCAGAGAAATTCATGTGGAAATTGAACATTATAATTCAGAGTTATGTGTAGAGATTTAATAAATAATTCACTGAAAGCATGCTAAGAAATATATTTAAGTGCAGTGGAAGAAAGCCTGGGTTGGGGGGGGGAGTATTACCATAGTAGCATAAGTTTTGTGCAGGCGCCATCATGTTAAGGTATAGTTTGAAATATGTTACGATAATATTTATAACAATAGTTAATAAAGGAAGTAAAGTAAGGTAAAATTTTGTGCTATTTGAATTAGCCATTCATTTGCATCAGTTGTTTTAATTAGTCATTCATTTTTATCTTTTCATGTGTTCATCATAATTAAGGAAATTAACTGCTAATTAATTAATTAAATGAGAATACTGAAATATACTTTTTCTTTCCTGTACCAATGAGACTGACATAATTATATTACAATTACAGAAACACATTTATGTGCATAGCCTTTCTTAATGACATAAAATGGATATTTCTGATGTCGCTCTCAATATATGCTGATGTGCTTTCTGTGCATGCTTTCCACTTCACCAGTGCTTACAGAGAAAAGTATTGTTAAGAGATAATATTATTGTTTTTCATCTTCCTAATCTAAGCCTGCAGCCAGATCGGATTCGCAAATTTTATCATGGCCAGGAGGTAAGAGTTGGCCTATCATTGGCTTAGGCCTTGGGCATTTTATAGGTGACAGTATGAGTTTGACTAGGTCTGCCCCAGTTTTATTGAAAAATCTGTCGGGGGATGGATTCAAGAGTCTCCCACCGATCTTAGCCCATCATCAAATCCTCAAGAAAACTTTCTATTTGACAGTATTTTAAGTGCCTCTATATCACAAAGATACTATGCACTTACAAATATCCTTATAAGCATTACCCAAGACTATAGCAGTGCTTTCCCCAACCACCATGCTGGAGTGGCTAGGTAAGAAAATTTAGTGATGGAAAAAACAAAGAATGCATACAATATCAGTGACATAAATTTTCACTTTCTTTTGCTAATTTATATAGTTTGTACGCCTCTTCCCGAATATCTATAAAATTTACATAATTTTATTTTTTTAATTTTCTTTGTTTTGGATGCTAAAATGTGCACTTACTCATATTTGTTGCATTAACTGCTATTATAATTTCTTTTAGGAAAAACAAATGAAAATGGCTTTTCAAATTATATTTTATTAATATCCCCTTTTTTATTTCTTTAGTATTGAACAGTGCATATAATAATAAACTTTTTTGGTGTATTCTAGCAGCTTGCTAAAATTCCTTGTTTATCTGAGAATAAATAGTTAAGCTTATATGGCATATTTATAGGTTCATAAATAAATAAAACAGTCCAAATAAATAGATAGTTATAAACTTGAAAATCCTATTCATGTGAAGTTTTTTTAAGCAAAATTGAAAACTTAGAATAATAAGAAACAACAGAACTCTTTTTTTTTTTTTTTTTTCTTCCAGAAATGCTTAATTTTGTATGAAAAATTTATAAATTTTGTATTTATATTAAAAAATTATTAAAACCTTTTAGAAAATAATCATATTTAGGCAGTGAAATGTATCATAACTATGATGATACATCAGCCTGTTAAATGATATATGTGCATTCTTCCATTGAAGGGAATTGAGATTGTTAATTTATGAAGCAATTTTTAAGTAAAACTATGCAGTTCATGTTATATGATTTTATAGCAATGAAAAATGTTCACTGTATAATGAATTTATACTTATTGTCATATATTAAACTAATCTTAAATTTCATTAAGCAGTGTATTAACAAATATTTACTTTTTAATCTAAATTTAAGTAAGAAGTTGAGGTTATGAATCATATTTTGTAACACTATTAAAATATTTGCATTTTAATTTGTTATTGTGCTTGTGTGCTTATATAATATATAATACATGCTCAAGTATTATGGAAAATGAATTTGAACTCTTGTAATTAGCATTTGCTCAACTCATATATATATATAAAAGATTTAAGTAATTTTTTATGAAATTGCACAAAAACTATAGGTTCTAGATTATAGTGTTTTTACTCAGTATGGGACTGAAGCTTATATTTTTAATTGAAGACATTCCTGTTTTTTTTTATGTTATTTATATGAATTAATATTCTACTCTGTATCCATCATTTCTCTTTCTTTTCATTGTTATGAATTAATATTGGTTTCATTTAATGGTAAAATAATGCTAAATATATCTTTTTGTTCAGTACATATTCTAAAATTTTGAAATCAGGATTTTTATCTTAAAATAATGAAATATTTATGAATGTATGAGTGATTTTTGATGTTATAGGGGTACAAATGTAAATATAATATGAAACTGAATAATTTTAGACATCTGTTAATGTTTTCTTTTTATATAAATGCATAAATTTATTGTCTTTAAAAATGGAATTTTTAAATGAAATTTTATCTTTGTTTAGGATTATTTATTGATATATATATATATATATATATATATATTGAATAAAATACTTTTGAACAATTTTTAGTTGTATATGTACATATATTGTTGTATAAAAATTTCATGTAGAATAATTTTGTAAAATTTAGTTAAACAAAATAATTGCATAAAACAAAGTTTTTGTAACTTTTCCTGTCATTTTTTCATTGTATTTTGTGATTAAATTGGAATATAGGTATAATTGTTATATATGCAAAATGCAATCAAGGAACTTGTGTGTACTTTATTTTAAGCCAGAATGTGGGAGTATTTCCTTCATATTTCTAGATTAAATATCCATAATAATTTGGTTAGTTCAATTTTTGAAGCTGGCAGTATTATTATTTAAAACCTTTTTAAAGTTATATTGATATTAAATTTGTATTTGTTGTAACATTCCCTGTTTATGTGGGTGCCATAAAAATTTTTCCTACAAAGAAGAAAACTGCTTTAAATTTTTTGTTTTGTGAAATTGTAATAGATATTTAAAAATATTTGTACATTCATTATATAGTAGAACAAAATTTATTTAATTAAGAATTTTTATACACTTATTTTGCCTTGGTACCCAGAATTAAATCCAAGGTATTTAAGTGCCTGATTTATTCACCCTTGCCTGTGTCAAGTATAGTTCTGTTTCACTTTTGAACTAAAGAACAGAAAAATTCCTTATTTAAATTGTATTTCCAAGAAAAAATGTTCATGTATTCTTTTAAATACAAAAAGCCACATTTTTATTTTCTATAATCAAGTTAAAAAGAATTTAATTTTTTTTTCTATTCAAAAATTGTGCTGCAAAGTTTTTCCAGAAAATGCTCTTTTAAACTTCTAGCAGCTTTTAAAACATGTAAATATATTTTGTGATTTTTAAAGCACTGGAAGTATTTTATATAAATGGAAATGAAATTTGTAAACTTTTAATATATAAATCATTTAAAATTTTATTAGACTTTTAATGGTCTTATAATTGCGTGAGTTTTAAAAGATTTTGTTTAAATAAATGTGGAGTATTTAAAAATAATTAAATTCTAAGTATAACAAGAATAAACTATTTAACACATATTTTCACTTCTATTGCAAGTTTGTAACCAACATAAGTTTAATGTGAAAGTTGTAAACTTTTAAAAAATTTGCATTTCAGTATATATTTAGTATTCAGTACATGAAATGACTTGTTTTAAATTTATATTACGTACATGTATTCATTGCAGTTATGCCAGACTGCAACATGCTGAATGTATGATTCTGATTTTGAACTATCACTGCCAAACATGAGCATTATTTTGACTTACAAAACAACATTATTCCTAGATTGGGATGAACACATATACTGAATTTTGTTCCATTTATACAGGATTGAATGTCACTCCATGTTGTGTGTCTATTACTGTCAACTTTTGATGAGAATGGGGAAATAAACTATCACTTTCAATACAGATGATTAAATATCTCCAGATCTAAAATCGTGATTTTTTGTAATAAGGTTGTTGAAAACGAAGGTTATGTAAAGATTCTCTAACCTGACTCACAATGTGAAAGACAATATATACTGTTATTGTCAATAATTCTTACAGAAATGCTATTTCTTTTGTCTTAGTAGCTATATATATTTTAATTATGTTCAATAATTCAGTATCAATTTTGAGATTTTTCTGTTGTTTTATTTCTGCTGTGGTAAGGATCATGGCTGTAAATAAAGTATTTCCATATTAAAATTCCTGTAATGGGAAAATATATGAGTTTATGAAAAGTACTGAAATACAAATTATTTAGAAATTTACCGAATTTTGAATCCCTGTGTAGATTAGTGTTTCCTAAACATTTTAAATGATCATACCTGAAATTTCTAAAACAACAAGCATTTGAGTACATTTGTTTTAAAATAATGGTTTTTCTCAATTTAATTATTTTAGCACTTTTTAAATTTGTTTTTTAATATAACTTTATAAAAAGTGGCTTCCATTGGGAAACACTGAAATGAATGGTGAAATTTATATTTATAAGTTGTATTGCTGTGAAATCTCACTTGCAATGTTTGTATGAGTTCATAATACGTCATGTAATGGAAACTAAAGAGTGGCCTTACTAAAAAAATATAAATCAATAGACTTGAATCTTAAGTCCCTAATTTATGATAAAACCTTTTATTATTTATGTAATACTGCATTTTTGCTGATGAGATTTTTTTAATTATATTCAATGTTATATGTGTAAAAGATTGCTGATATAAAAATGGATTTGTTAATAAATATTAAAAATCTCTTTTCTTGGCATATAAAATATTTTTTTAAATTTTAGTAACACTTTTTATATTATTTATATTAATCTTACACGTTCAGAATATTTTGATGAGATAACACACGTCTTTTGTTCTTGCATGTGTTG